GGACAGCACATCTCCAGAAGCCGGGGAGGGGCTTGGAGCAGATTCTCCATCATATCCTCAGAAGGAACCAACCTTGCCCACAACCGGACCTCAAACTTTCGGCCTCCAGAACGACACAGCGATGGCCTCGTGTTGTTTAAGCCACCCAGCTGGCGGCGCTTGGTCATGGCAGCCCTCGTGAACTAACACAGAAGTGCCCAGGGGGAGGGTGTAGCTCAGCATGCGTGAGGTCCTGGGTTCAATCCCCAGCACCTCCTTTAAAAATAAATAAACAAGTGAACCTAGTTACCTCTCCCTCCCAAAACAATTTGAAAAAAAAAAAGTAGCCCTGGACTTGACTGTGACCTCCTGAGCCAATGCCACGGCTCCCACAAGGCTGACCTGACGTCACAGAGACCCCGTCCTGAGGGAGAATTGCTGGGAGATAGAAAGCCTGATGATCTTATGCTCAGCGATGACCCCCACCTGCACCCCACCTCCACCCCACACCTGCACCTCCTACCTGCTCGGCAAGCGAAGGCAGATCCAGGGCCCTGGTGCCAGGACGCCTGCCACCCCTTGTACCCGTGGTAGGTGCCGCTAATTGATTTAGATACTCTCCTGCTAAAAGCAGAGCCTCAGAACCTTTCACAACCCAGAGCCCTTAGAAGCCACCAAAAAAAAAGTCTATTCGAGTTGGCATGATAGTAGAAACCAACTTAGGATTCCTATCACAGGCAGCAACTCTGTGAAGTCCAGAACAGCATCCTTTGCCCCTCCAGGTACCTTGTATCGCTAGGCACAGTATCTCGTTAACTGTAAGTACGCAGGCCACACCTGCTGAATGGCTGTGTGCTTGGATTTGGGCTGAGAAGGGACAGCAAGGGTGACAGCAACTGCAGCCCTCCCCCATTTTGCAAACTACCATCTTGCAACGATTGTCTGGGACAGCACCGACCTTCACCACCACCGTTAATTTATTCAACAGTTACTAACAGACCACCTGCTACGGGCCAGGTCTGGGCTAAAGTCTGGCTTCCAGGGTGGGAAGAAGGTGCTGAACAGCGCAGACCCCCAGGAACTGCAGAGAAGCGCCGTGAGTGACACGAACTCCCTGAGAGCCAGCAGGACTCACGTGACTTTCCAGCACTGTCAGCCCGACGCACTGGGCGTTAAGAGGCTGTGGGCTGGAAAGTCCTCCCAAGTCCCCTGCACTCACCGAGCCGCCTCCCCCGGTCACAGTAACGCCAGGATCTCAAGCGGCTCCTGACGGCAGGAGTGGGCCTACAGCCCACGGTCAGCCCGCTCTTTGAACACATTCCCGACCTGACTTACTTATCTCCATCAACCGACATTCTTTAGAGAGCCAAGTGTGGGCTTGGTGCTAACACAGCTCGTGGACGCTGAGACGCTGGAAGCACATCTCCACGCTCACAGACAGCCACCTAACGGGAACATTTATTTGGGGGAAACGAGGACTTTGCCTGCTCCTCTTTGGCGTGAGGAAGACGCCAGCCCCTGGGGAAGAAGGAGGTGCCCTCCTTGGGGGCTGCCCTTACCTGTCTCACTTCATCACAGAACAGGACAAAGACCAGCGCGTAGAGGACCAGCTCCGGGGGGTGGGGCACGGAGTGGAAATCCATCAGCAGCACGTAGGCAAAGAGCAGGAGGAAGGCGATGTAGAAGACCACGTTCCAGGAGAAGACCACAAACGGGGACGTGAAGAAGGCCACGTAGGACCACAGCAGCTTCCTGTGCTTGTCCAGGGGCTTCTTCCTGGACCAGGACGGGGAGCGCCGTCAGTGTCCCAGCAAACACACTGTGTGGGCTACAACGCGCCTCCTGAACACACATGAATACAGAGCCCAAGCTGGCCCCGGGAGGGGAGGGGTCCAACTATTCTGAGAAGGACTCAACCAAAATTCAGCCCTTGGCACTTCCTCATCAACAAATCCAAATTCTGCCTCGGATACTGACCACGTGACCCCACTCCCATCCGTCTGAGATCAAACCCAGGGGAAGCCGGAGGAGACCCCAGAAGAGAGCCAACGTCGTAAGTTCCAGGCCTTACGATCCTTTACACACACACACACACACACACACAACTGAATGTGTGCCTCGGTTTCATACCGAAATGAGATAAAGCCACAGCCAGCCAAAGGTATGATAAACAGACACAGGATAATCTTCCAGTTCTTGGTGTCTCGGGAAATCTCCCCGTACCATTGCTTGGACAGAAAATTCTACAGGAAACAGAGGAAAGGACACAGGTCCTCATTAAGGCAATGACCTGCCAGATGGCATGCGACCGTTCCACCCAGCCCTCAAACCTCCCCCAAATAATTACTCTCGGAGGCAACGTCCCTACGCTTTTGTATTAGTTACCTGGACTCTCAGGGGCTACGATAAAACTGTTTAAAATCCTGTTTGATTTTCAGTCCTTTCTTAAGTTGGGTTCTATGAACTTTTTTATTATTTTTTATTGAAGTATAGTCAGTTTACAATGTTGATGTCTAGTGTGCAGCATAGTGTTTTAGTTGTCCATGTATATATTCTTTTTCATAATCTTTTCATTCCAGATTATTACAAGATGTTGAACACAGTTCTGTGTGCTAAACAGGGGACCTTGTTGTTTGCCTGTTTTATACATAGTAGGGTTCTATGAACTTTAAACTAGAGGTTGTATGAGTCCAAATTCACTAAGCCTACGAATTTTAACCAGCCCTAACTGTTATAATGTAAGCTTAAACAAGCGTCTATGTAGTTCCTCTCTCCCAAAAGGTCACAAATTCACACATTCAGTGTTATCTGCATGTCCCCCCTCTGCTGGGGGCAGACAGGTGGCACTTGTCAGGAAACTAAAAGGAAGTCAGGAAGGGAGAGACCACTGGTGTCTCCACACCAACTCGAGCTGCAAAGCCCCCGAAAAGCCGCACTTTGAGTCCGCACACAAGGGGGGAGCCTAGGCTGGGCCACATCGAAGGACCACACAGCTCTCAGAAAAGACCGTCATCAGTCAGAAGGGGGCTGGCGTGTCTCTGTGGCCAAGCAGGGGGGCCCCCGAGGCCTTCCCAGCACTGACCGGAGGGCTCGGACCCAGATGCCCACCCATCCGGCACTTCCCTCTGGGAAAGGACGGCTTCTCCGGGGAGCCCTGTCACGCTCTGCCTGGGCAGCTGTGGCCCAGCGTGTGCCTGGCCCACGAGGGGCAGCCCCGGATGCACCGCAAGCTGCAGCTGGTGGGTGAATGCCAGAGTCCTCGGGCTCAGGAGGGCGACACGGGGGCAGGTCCACGTGGCTCCCAGAAGCCCCCAGAAGCCGCACCCCGTGGCAGCTTCCTCCCCAGCACACCTGTGTCTGCTTTCTTCCCTTTCCCTCCCCCTCCCCCATCTCACTGCCCCACTCCCCTCACCCACCTCCTGGACTCACGTCCAGAACAAACTAGCTGCACCCACGTCGTTTGGGGTCTGCTTCCACGGGACAAAGACAAGGTATGTCCAGCCCTCACTCTTGTGGTCCAGCCGGGGTGATGGGCAGCCAGGCCATCGCCAAGTGGCACCATGAGGCCCCCGATCACAGAAAGCTGCCCGCAAGCTCAGTCCCACGGCCACCAGGGACAGCCGACCCCACGCAGCAGCCCTCCCACAGGAAGCACGTTCCCCAGTCCCAGGGGCCTGGCAGTGAGACTGTCTGTAAACACCAATGAACTGGCATCTGGTTGGAACCCTCAGACTGGTGAACTTGGACGGAAGCGTGAGTCAGCCTCCCCAGGGCCAGCAAGATGGGGCAAGAGCAGAGCGTGGCGGCTGCGGCAGCTGTGGCGGTCTCCCGGGCCACCCCCACCCCGGTGCCGGCCTCCCTCCAGCCCGCCGCGGTGCAGAGGCTGAACCTGAGCGGCTGCAAGACGCCTCGTGAGTCTCAGCATCCAGGACCACGTCCATGGACTCGAGCTCAGCGGCAGCGGCAGACGGAGTTCTTTCACAAACCCCGCTAGTTACTGGCTGCGTGGCATGATGGTAAGTCCGTAAGGCAGACAATCATCACGGGATCAAGCCCCAGCATGGCTACTTCCTAGCAGCAACCTGAGGAGTGTTCCAGAACCTCCCTGAGCTCCCGAGTCCCCATCAGTAAAATAGGATGACGTCCACCGCCATGTGTGCTGGGAAGATGAAACGTGATCACGCATATCAGTTGCATGCAGACGGCATGCGTCCGTCTGTCTCTTCCCTACCCTCCTCCCCTTCACCCCAGGCGCCTCCAGCTGGGATGGTGGGTGGAAAATCTCACTCCAAAACCTGGGACACCAGGTGCAACCCACTGTTAATTTAACTCAGGGCAGGAAACCTCTACACTGGCTGAACCCACTTCACTCTAGTTTCTCTGCTGCCATTTCTACTAATAACTGTTGCAACAGGAACGGCCGACACAGAGGGCACTGTTCGCATGTCCTCACTGAATCGTCACAGCAGCCTCTCCTTTGCCCCTATTATGCCCATTTTACAGATGAGGAAACTAAGGCCCAGAGAGCTGGTGTAACCTGGCCCATCACCACACCCAGTTAGAGACACGCTGGAGCCAGAGACCCAGCTCATAATCATGGGCTGTCCTGTTTGCTTTGTGGAAATGCAAGGAATATTCTCTCTTTTGCACCATCTCCAGAAGCAAGGATCTCCACCGACGCCTGTGCCCCGTCTTCTCCGTAACATCACCCAGCGCTCCTGCTATGGCCTTTAAATCGGAGAAGATTCATTTTTAAAATTATACATACATCTTTTAAACTATGTTTTCAGGGATTTTTTAATTTTGTTTTCAGCTTTTTATTTCAGGGGGGCAGTTAATTAAGTTTACTTATTTATATATTTTAATGGAGGTCCTGGGGGTTGAACCCAGGACCTCGTGAACGCTAAGCATGCACTTTACCACTGAGCTATATACCCTTTCCCATTCTTTTTTTAACTTTTAAAAATTATTTTTAGGGGGCAGGTAATTAGGTTTATTTAACTTTTTGATGGACGTACTGGGGATGGAACCCAGGACCTCATGCATGCTAAGCAGGCACTCTACCACTGAGCTCTACACTCCCCCTTTTAAAATTATATTTTCATACGCTGCTAATAGCATCTGATGGAAAAGGCCCCTTCCTGGGCGTGATGTTTGATGACTGTGTGTTGTTTACCTGGACCCCAGGCTGGGCGATGAAATGCTGGTCCGTTGCCTCCACCGCCAGCTCCAAACAGTTGCTCCCACCCCAGGCTTCACAGGAATAGACCAGGAGCTGTTCCGCCAAGTCTTCGTCGCTGCTGTAACACTCTGTGAACAGCTCTGAGCGACATTTATCACCGGAGAGAGGGAAGCTGGAGGCGGGGCTGACCAATACACCAAACTTGCCCGCGCCCACCTCCCCAACCAAGCCCTGACTTCCAGAAAAGCCTAGCGGTGAGCACAAGGCGTAGAGAAGGAACACCAGCACAACAGGACTCTACCGAACAAGGGGACCTTCTTTAAGCACCACACGCCCAGCACAGCGCCTCCTGGTGGCAGCTGTCCAGAAATGCCCACTGAATGCCCTCTTCGGTGGGGGCTCAGCCACTGGGGAGAGGACCCAGGCCTTCTGCCCCCTTCAGAGGGCAGCCCCTTCCAGCTCATCTGCCTTCTGGGCTTTCCTGATGAGGTTTCTTTGCAAATAAAGCACAGGACAAGAAACCCCCAAATGGTGTTAGAAACCCCAGCCTACTGCATTGAGGGCGTGCCTACGTTTTGAGACTTATCACATACAGACTAAAATGCTGATCCTCAGAAGAAATGTCTTGAAAGTCAAAACATTAGGAGCCACTGCCTTGTTGAAGTCAATCAGAAAACAAGTTATATCTTCAGACTTTTAATACATTAAAATAAATAATTGAACACCTTTTCTCCAACCCAGAGAAGCTAAACTCAAGAGCATTTTTTCATTAGCTAAGACAACAGACAAACAAGCCTGCATTTTGCAGCGAACCACGCCGCAAACTCCCAAGTGGAAAAGAAAACCCTGAGCTGGCCTGAAGCTCTCTGTTGCTGGAGGCAACTGGTCTTGGATTTCTCGCATCCCCTCAGTCTGAGCCCTTGGAGCAGGTGAACTGACAAGCTTTGATGGAGGACAGGTGAATGGCAGAGGACAGACATTCCAGGCACGTCACACTTAGCGATGCCTCTGTGCCCTTCTATTCCAGATAGTGAGAGACGTCGCCCTGCGGCTGGGCAGCTCACCTGTAGCCTCACAGAAGCTCCGAGTCTCCTAAGCTTGGGGAGCTGTAGAGCCACCAGCACCAGCCCTATTCACATCACCCCCTAGGGAATCGAGGCACGGGTACCACCTCAAGATACTGTTCTGCCTTTGCCATTGGTAGTAAGTTATGTGCATCCCTGACCCAGGGGTCTGGGGTCTCCATCAGTATTTGTATAGGGAACTGGCAGGCTGACTTAGCTTGCAAGTCAGGTAAAATCCCAGACCTGCCACGGTTTCTGAATAGCATCCCCAAAACAAAACAGCCCAAAGCTCCCTGTGGTGCGGCGTTACTCAGATCTGGCCTGGGCGTGGCCCTGGGCAGCTGTGGGATGAGAGAGTCCACATTTTCCCACTTGCATTCTTGGAAAAGCCAGTAAGTGCCACGGGCGCCTGCCTGTAGCGGCCGCAGGTCCCATCCCGGGAGGCTTACCCACTGCCCGGGTCTCGTACTCGTTGGCCAGCTCCTCGGACTCCCCGGCTGCATTGATGTCGTTCTTCACCTTGGCCAGGGTCTTCAGAAGCTTGCTGGCTCCCAGGGCTGCCAGGGTGCAGCCCTTGGTCTTTCAGAGGGGCGAGAATGTTCGGGTTAATCCGTAATCCCTTGACGTGGTGGAGCCAGCATCAGAGTCAGACAAGACAAGGGCAAACTCGTGGCAAAAGCAGGAAATGGTAAAAATCAGAGCTGTTCATAATGACACCGAGTACAATCTGCAATGTGCGCAGAGTCTTGAACCTGACTCTACTCGCAGTCCTGAACGCGGAATCAGCATATAAAAAGAAAATATCAAGATAAATGCAGGAGACGCTGACAGTAGGACAGCGGGGGGCCTGACCACGCGCCATCACACCGCCGCGGCTCCGAGGGGGAAGCGGCCAAGGACACGGAGACCGGACACTGTGGTCAGTGAGACTGGGTGGGAATCAGTGCTCAGTACCCAACTGCATGCTCTCAACATGGAGAATGTAGCTTCGTTTCCACTTCATAAATCATTTATAAAAATCACTACGTGCAGAATCCCAAAGAAAAGTCTCAATCATGTCCCGAAGCAACATTTGCACAGGCCCTGCTTCCTGTCCACAATGCAATAAAGCTGGGGATTAATTTTTAAATTAAAATTAACCCCCCCACACTTGGAAAACAGTCACAAATCCACACACACCTAAGAAGCAGGCGCCTACTGGACTGCCCACCAAGCACAGAGGCTTTTCAAGGACCTCTCATCCCAAGCACATCTCTGTTCCCATGGAAACAGGCACAACTGGACCCACCAACATCAAACACCCCATTGTACTGATGATGTTTTAGGTTAGGCACTTAAGTTTTGAGAGGGTCACAACAGCCACAGCAAAGCATACACTCGCCGTGGACCTGGATATTTACCTGCTCCCAAATGACTTTGGAAAGTTCCTTCTTGTTCTGAAGAATGGCCCAGATGAAAAGTGCTTGCAGGGGGTGCCGGGTAATAGGAGACACGTCCTGGGAAGGGTTAGAACATGTGGTCAGCCCATGCAAACGGAACATCACTTAAGCAGCGGCACTACTACAAGAATGAAAACGGGGTCAGGATGCCCTAGCAGGGTACCCCGCGTTTCCAGGTCTCTATGACTTGGTGTCTGAATCCATTTTAATAGCACAGTGATGTGACTTTCATCTCCACAACTCACCAGGTGGTATAATTTGACCCAGAATCTTTTATCTGTCATAAAAGTCCACGTACAAGTAGATGGGAAGGTTTAAAGGGTGAAAAAATGTGCTGACAGCAATTTAAAAACTGAATGACTTCTGACAGGCTGAAGAGAAAGCAGTTCCTTTGCATCACGTAACTCCCTTTCTCATCCAGAAAAATCGTTCGAACTAAATTCTAACTTTCCTATAATTTAAGTTCAACCATCACAACATAAAAATTATACCCATTTCTTTGGAGCGTTATTCAAAATTTCAATTCATAACACATCAATTAGAATCTCAGCTCCTATTCAGCCTCCCAAATCTTCCAACGGAACCTTTCCAGTGAAAAAACAACTATATGGATATATTCCTTTTAAACTTCCCTACAGGTTTTACCAAGATCCGAAATGTTTCTGGCACAGTTATAGATACTGCAGACAGTTTTAACATAAATCACATCAAACAAAAGCTTTCTAAACATGTCCAGTTCTTTCAAATATCCAGCTTCTTTAGATTTTTGCCACACGGACACATACATTGAAATTCAAGAACTATAAACAATAATGACCTAGTCTGAGTTTCCCCAGAAGCAACCGAGCATTTGAGACAAGTAGCTTGAGAGGTGAACCCAGGAAAACCAATAAGAGATTGAGAAAATGAAACTGGAAAAGAAAGAACCCACAAAGGGAACATTATCAACAAGTCATCATGGTTGGTAACCAGAGATTTAATCCCACGAGGCAACCTAGGAGCTGGTGTAGAACACATGCCTCAGAACCATCTCCTCTGAGCAGGGAGGCTGTTGGGGTATTTATACACCAGCTTCCAGCCATCACTGGGCTCCAACAGACAAAACCTTCAGCAAAGAGCTGTAGGTGCTTTCAGTCGGAAACTGGGTCTGCCTCAGGAAATCCCGAGAGAATACAGGTGATCTATTCACCACATCCTCTCATATGGAAACCTGGCTTATCCCTTTGGAAATATCCACTGCCCCTTTTATGCACAAAAGAATGCTTGGCAGTTCTCCAGTCCTCTGCAGGGGTAGCAGAGAACTATTTTAGGCAGATCATATCCAAAAAGTATGAGCAGGCAGTCATTTGTTTGTCCCTGTTCCCTGTTAGATGACTTCAGAAAGTGTGTCACACCGAGCTTTGCAATTAAGAAACACTGCAACCACTAGTTTGAAATATAGCACAGAGAATAAAGCAAGAAAATTCGCCACTTGTTAGCTCACTTGGACTTGCTAGCACAAATAAAGGCAGGAGAAAAAGTGAACAATCCCAATGTGTTAACTACATTACGGCAATGAGGTAGGGAGTAGGAAAGATGGAGGTAGAGAAACATTTTTTGAAAGAAGATTCTAAACGTCAGAGGATTCAAGCAGATAACGGTACCCAGTACATACATGCAGTTCCACATCCATCTCATCCTTGCTATTTCTGTCTTCCTTCCGGAAGCCTCTTCGGAAATTAGCAACCAGTTTCCAGACGAACGTGAGGAGGGCGTCATTGTAGGAGTTCTTGGCGATCTGCAGGTTCTGATACACCAGGCTGCTGAAGTGATTGGAGAAGAGCTCGGTGAGGACGTCACTGGTGAGGAACTTCCGCAGGTTCAAGCCATTCTCCAGAAAGAGGCGCACAAACTTGGGTCTGTCCTTAATGAGAGCCGTAAACATGACTTCTTGAAGGTCAGCAGACTGAGGAGAAGGAGCAGAGAGAGAACTCACAACCCAAGTCCACTCAAGGAGACACAAAGCATTCTCCTTCTCAGCCACATTGCATTTGCATCCACAAAGTATAGCATCGGTATCTTCACCTTTGCTTTCAATTCTGCTTTGGGAATAAAATTTATTTTTTCAATCACAACACAACATTGTATTACAGCTCAAACGTGGAGACATGGGAAGCAGCGTGGCGGAATCCTTGAGATCAGCCAGATGTGGGCTTGGATGGGACTTGGCCTCTTGCCAAGTGAAATGGGAGAATGACGCCCACCTAAGGACGGTATTGATCAAGAATTGTATCCCAGTGTCCGGCACACAGGAAGCACCCACTCCCTTAGGGGCAAGGGGCTAGCCTGCAGCTCACACCGTTTCTCTGAAGCCTACAGTAAACACCGATCGTGAGCCAACCCCCAGCCAGCTCTTCCCTCCCTGCCACGGGGATCGTCCGGCTGCCCTTCACGTGCCACGAGGTCGATGCCTGGTCATGTCACACAGTCATGAGCCATCGGAACACTTGACAACTATACCTGGTCATTATTTATCTTCATCTCTACTGCCTGGGCTCCTGATAAACCCCATCCCATAGAAGCTTAACTGGGAATCTTCGTAAAGACAATTAATGTGACCCTCAGACGCACCCAGTGGTCTATGGGCTACACCAGCTCTCAGATACATTCTGATGGTCCTCCAGAGTATCTCTTACAATCTGCTTCAATTGCCAACATTAAAAATTAGACGGTTCATAAAAATCTACCTTTCCAGCATTAAAATCCAGATTCACGAGGAAACCCCGGAAGCTCTAACAGCACAGAGAACCATCAGCTGGGGCCAAGTGGCAGCGGCCCCGGGAGCCTGGGCACTGCAGCCCACCCAGCCCTCTCCTCACTTGGCTCGTCTGAGCCCGGCTTCAGGAACAGCCCCTGCCCAGGGCAGCATTAGCAGCTCCTGTTTCTGTCTGATGTTGGTCTCACAGGGATCACACGCTGCCTGTAGAGGGAACTGCCAGGGGTCCCCTGAGTCCCCCGACTGTGGCTTCAGGTGGGACGGGGATGCGAAGAGGGGGCTGCCCTGGGGTCAACAGCCGCTGCTCTTTCTCCTCTGTCCCCGAGGCTAGTGTTCCTTGTGCCAGCCTTTCACGTTTCCTTCTAAATCTGTGTGCCTTTCCATTGATCACACTTTTTTTTAGCATAAGGCAGTGTTTCTCAAACTACAATCAGAGCCATCTGGAGGGCTATTAAAGCACAGGTTGCTGCTGTCAACCCCGGAATTTCTGCTCTGGCAAGTCTGAGGTAGAGTCTGACCATGTGCGCTGCTAACAAGTTCCCGCTTCTCCCTGCACCACCACCAGTCCACGGACCACTCTCTGAGAATCACCAGCACACGGGGCAGAGAAAGGCTTGACAGTCAGACACATCTTTGTTTCCAACCCTTGGTTCCACCATGACCTTACGTGTGACCAAACAAGATTGTGTCTCTGAGCCTCAGTTTGCTCTTCTGGAAAACAGGTGCTTGTGGAGATGGAATGAGGTAACACAGGTCAAGGAGGCTTCAGGGATTCAAGTTGAGAGCAGGCCCTAAAAACGCCATCAGTTAGGCCCTGCCCGTGGTCCCCATGGAGCCTTGGGTTATTAACCAGTGAAATGAGATAATCCCTGTGGTGGCTGGTGTGAGGGCCAAGAGAACCGGCCCAGTGAACGAGCTTACACAAATGTTCCCACTATTCCAAAGATTTTTATTTCTAAAGAAAGACGTATATAGGGCTTAATACGTGCCAACGTTCTAAGCATTTTAGAAACATTATCTGATTTAACCATCGTAACAATCCAGCGAGGCAGGCACTGCTATTATCAGTATCTCCATTTCCAGATGAGCAGTGGTGTGCTGGCCAATGTTTAACCACCAACTCTCTGGAAGAAGACACTGAGCCCCGACCTGCAGCGTCTGCCCGTTCCTATGGTGTAAACGCTCCCACCACGGCCGCTTTTCAGCTACCAGTGTGACATCATTGAACACGGAACTGGGACTAGATCAGGGGTGGCACGTAGTGGTCCCAGCCCGCAGATACAACAGGCATAATCCTGAGAGCAAAGGTCACAGTAAATGTAGTAAAATAATGGGAAAGAAATGAGTCTGATTATTTATGAACTTTGTTTTTAATAAGATGTATTTGGTTCTAAATGTATATTATTTATTTTTTAATAAAATATATATTTTAATAATGACTGCATTTAACAACTAACTCAAAAATCCCTAAAAACGGTAGCAGTAAAACCAGTATGAGCTGATTCCAACTCGCCACTGACTGAGGAACTGAGGCCTAAAGAGGTTAAGTCACTTGCAGGGGTGAAGTCATGCAGCGGCCGGCTCCCGAGTCCACACGCTTAACCATTATGCCCTTCACCCTCAGCTGAGTTAATAAAATTAAATGTACCATTCAGTACATGCCTGAGTTTATTTGTGCCATCTGACCTCACTTAAATAGAACGTTCCACACACAGAGATTCATTTATGAATCAATTAACTGGATCTACTTCCAGTTCGACTTTCTCTCAAGTAACTGAAGACTTGCAATGTGCCACAGGGTTCATTAGACTGCAAAGACCAAGCAAAGGTAATGTTTGCTAAAGGAATGAATAATTTAAGAACCCCTAAGCCATTACTTAATTTGTATTCTACTATTAAAATTGATCCATTTTAATATAAATGAAGTCTTCGTCTTTGACTAAGTAACGGTAGGCCTAAAAGTGTTTTCTGAACCTGACTGCAAAGGATGAAAGTTATGAATACATGCGCCTACGTTTTCATACAATTTTATAGGCACATGAAATTAAATTCTCGCTACCTGCTAATGACTTAATTCAGAAGAGCTGAAAATAAAGAAGCTCCTGCCTTGCAGAGTCAAGCGTCATAGTTTATAATTGTTCCCATGAAACAGAGCTCCTAAGGCAGATGTAACTCTAGTTGTACACAGAGGACATGGCTAGAAAATGCAGTCCTGCAACTCTCATCAAATTCCAAGTGAGAAAAAAATAATCCAAATGAACTTATTTATAAACCAGAAACAGATTCACAAACATAGAAAACAAACTATGGTTACCCAGGGGAAAGGGGAGGAGAGGAAGGGATAAACAGGAGTTTGGGACTAATTCATGCACATTACTATACATGAAATAGATAAACAACAAGGACCTACTGTAGAGCACAGACAACTATATTCAACATCCTGTAATAACCTATAATGGAAAAGAATCTGAAAAATTATATATATATATAACTAAATCACTTTGTTGTGCATCTGAAACTAGTACAACATTGTAAATAAACTATACTTAAATTTTTAAAAATTCAAAGTGAAAAAAGTCAGTTTACTAGAAAAAAAATACAGATTTTTTTGGACATAAAACTTCCATTTTGGAGGGGCTTGATTGCCTGGGGAGCCCTGACTTTCTAGCTTTAAGACATTCGTTGCATATATTCAGTCAACTTATTCTATTTTTCTCTTATGCGTCTCACTGCTGACGATCCTCTTGTCAGAACTCGGCTAGGTAGGTGGGACAAGGTGCAAAATGACTACTGGCATCTTGAGTTTTAGTCGTGCTACTTCTGATAAACTCCTTCAATCACCCTGTACATATTCTCCCCTATACTTCCGTCCATCAGCTCCCAAGAGGAAATCTGCCCCTCACACCAGACAGAGAATCACCTCTTACATCATGGCTGAAGAGCTATAAACTTTGGATAATACTGGTGGACTGGTGTTACCTTAAGTTGGGGCATTTATTTTTATCATCTCTTCGTAACAAACCTGCTAAGTCCGTGCTATTATCCCATACAACAGATGAGAAAAGTGAGGCTTGGCAACACTGATGTACCAGGACAGAACACTCTTCTACACGATTTGACATTGAAGACCTTGTCAGAAATGGACCAGACCTGATGCTGGGTAACCCAGGGGGCTTCTTATTTACCTCCCATCGGCGGTCATTGGTGAAAATCTCGTCATTGGCCAGGTCCAGCTGGTTCCATTCCAGCAGAAGCTTCAGCTGCCCATTCCAGTTATCCTTATCTTGATCGTTGGTGCTAAAGGCTGGAAGAGGACAGAGAAAAAAATCCGCTCACCAAATGCTCAGAAATCAGAGAGTCAGAACCATTCCATATGGCCAATTATCAGAGCCATTTATCAAAGGAGATTCTAAGCACGTTCTCTTAGAATCTGACACTCAGAGCCGTCATTTCACTGAGTTTATTTTTATCCATATTCTGTATGTCCCAGAGTATATAATAAGGATCAATTTAGGCAATAATATCTTTCCTATCCTAACAGTGTAACTATGCTATATAGATATTCTCCATAGAATAGACTTAGATTCCATGTTACATTTCAAGGACCACATCTCACTTTTACCAAATCTAAATCTATGAAATAATGAGCTATATTCTAACAATGGTCTACTTGTCTTCCAGAGCTAATATTTTCTGTATCTATGTACCTCTATACCCATAATTTAAATAAATATCCTTACAGCCGAATTTCTGACAAGCACAATAAGTATGATTCCAATGAATAGCTAATGCTGCACTTGCACTTACTAGGTGCTTTGTCCTGCTCTGCATTCCCTACATATGTTAATCTGGCAGCTCAATTCTACATGGTCTTCGCCAAGGATCTATTTACGTCAGGCAATTCCATCTTGATGGGATTCTAAGACAGCAAAGTTCACACATGAGAATTTTGTTATTTTTTAATTTTAATTTTTGGGGGGGGGGTTATTTATTTATTTATTTATTTATTTATTTATTGAGGAGATACTGGGGATTGAACCCAGGGCCTTATGCATGGTAAGCACACACTCTACCACTGAGCTATCCCCTCTCCCATATACATGAGAATTTTAAAACTGATTTTCATTCATAAGCTTCAGGAAATCTGTAAACCCCTGAAACTGAATGCAAAATAATTTATGTGCGTGAACTATGTGTGCACGTATAACCAAGCAGGACCCTTTGTCATCGGTGATCATTTGCTATCTGTAATGGTGTTTGTAACTGCTTAACTGTGTAATGGCTTAAAGGGTTTTTCTCATTCTCTTGCTGACTAAGATTAGGCTGGAGAGGAGGGAGGCTTGGGTGGTCCACCCAACCCCCACATGGTGCTGTGTGCAGGGGTCAGGCTCAGTGCCCTGCTTTTGACCCCAGTGCCCTCCTGTTGAACTGACACCTCAGAAACAGCAGTTGGGTGTTTTGTGCATCTTGTTGTTCATAACTCACTCCAACTGTGCATGTCTGCAGTTGCTTTTGGCCCTTTGTGGTTTCCTTGTATTCTGTTGCTCGAGCTGCAGGACTCAGGCTGCAGTTGGAGGTCCTATGCCTGCTTAAAAGGCTAAAAGCATTTATCAACCTGACTTTAAGCTGCACAAGTTTTTCTCTAGAGCTCATTTCCATAGAGCCCCTTCCTATGCATCCTTTGTTCTAGGAATAAGGATATTAAGAGAGTCCCAAAGCTGGAGGTGAGCTTCATACCCAGCAGAGGGAAGGCGACCCCTGCATCTGCAGAAACAAGAACAACTTTGCAACAACTTGTTACCTTGTATGTGATCTCTATGGAAACTAGTTCTGCCCTTTGACCTCTTGAACTTTTACTATTAAATCCCTAGCCTTCTCTCCCAGGCAGGCTCACAGTCTTGGATGCATTAGCCTACTGTAATTTCCTTTGCCTGGCAAAGAAATAAAGCTGCCTTTTCTACTTTATCCAAAACTCTACCCTCAAGTCTCAGTTCAGTAAGTGGGGTACAGAGGCTATGTTTCAACAAAACATGTGTGTATATGTATGTGGAACCCCGGGACAAAGGCCCATAGCTTTTATCATATTCTCAAGGCATCTGACACTCAGATAAGGGTTGTAAACCACTGTTAGAGACAGCTCTGCAGAAGCACTGTGATCATATTCAATCAGGATTTTAATGACATTAAAATTCTTCTATTAAATACATACAACCAAGGAGATTTAACTCAGCAGGTCAACAGTATATTCTAACTTCTAATCTATGATAAACAAAATTAAGTGCTAGATTATATTTCAGGAAAGCTGTTTAAAGAAATAAATGCAACTCATTAAAAAGCCACAGAGAGCAACAGGGAGCTGAAACTGCTAGCGGGGCTGTTCTTACTCACCTTTGTACAACGCGTAGGAAATAGCATTGCTCACAATTTCGTCCCCAGCTTCTTCCATCTTAATAACTGTTAATAAGTGAGAACTTTCAAGAATTTCTTTGAGCTGGTAAGATTTAAAGAGCAGAGTTGTCAGCCAATGATTTTAGGCATGAGGAACATAAACTACGCTCTTTGGGTAAGGAATCTTTTATTCCATTTTGTTTTTCAAGACCACCTATAGGAATGTTCCAGATCTTCTTCACTCCCCTACAGCACCTGTTCCCACAGCGTCTAGTTTCTAAATTGGAATAGTGAATCCTTGACAACGATGAGAGTAAGTATTGGGTCTACAAGGGCACACACAGAAAAAGGGCTCTTTCAAAAAGCTGAGAGACTCAGTGACTAGGGGGTGAGAGTGTGTGTGTGTGCGTGTGTGTGTGCACGTGTGTGTGTGCATGCGCACGCGCGCATGTGTGTGTGTGTGTGTGTGTGTGTGAGACAAAGCCTGGCAGCACGTGGTAGGCGCTCAAGTGCTGAATGAATGAATAAAAAAGGAAAGACAACAGAAAGCCAGAGAAACCACCCAAGTGTGAACAAAAGCCAAGACAATCTGGTGACTGAATAAAGGGATGAGGAATTTGCTATATTAGCCTTTGGGATTCTTCTGTAATGTTTAATTTTAAAACAGTTTTTTAAGATTAAAGAGCTGGGGGGGAGGGAGACACCCTGACCACAAGGTTTCAGGCGTTGGCAAGCTTGGTGGCTGGAAGGGTGAAGACGCAGACTATGATGGGCCCCTGGATTCACACTTTAGGAGGTGACCTGAAGGCTGCAGTTTCCTGGGAAAGGCAGGGCTGGAGTTCAAGAGGCATCTGAGGATGACGAGGAGGTAAATGAAAACTGCAGGAAAACATGGAGCACGGTGGGTTTGATGGAGAGACAAAGGCTGGCAGCAGGAAGGGAGGGGCCCTCTGACCACCCTTGCAGCCTTTGTTCAGGCAAAGGAAAGCGGTCCAGGAAAGGGGTCAGCTAGAAATGCAAGTGGTGGGGGGGTCCAGGTCCTGGGATTCTGGGGTGCAAGTGGGGGTGGGCAGCACAGACAGGGCGAGACACCTTCTCCTCCAAAATGGAAAGGAAGAAAGAGAAGGTGAATACAGACAGAGAGCAAACTGATGGAACCCAGAGACGCTGCAGGAGCTCCTGGCTCAGCCCCCCTCCAGCCATGTACTCCCACCTCTCCAATCCTGGCCCCCCACGGCAGCCAGAGTCAGACTTCCCGACCACACTCTGATCACATCTCACCTCGCTTCAAATTCTTCAGTGACTTCCCATCACACTTTACAACAAGACCAAAGCAAGACCATTACAACAAGGTCAAAACCTGGAGACAGTGTTCAAGGGACTCCCCAGCATGGCTTCTCCGGTTTCCACCCACAATATCCACCCGCGGTGCCATCTTTCCCCTCCGCGGGTGGGCCAAGCCTTGCAGCTCAGGAACTTTGCACATGCTGTTCTCACCAAACATCCCCAGTCATCAGCCTTTCAACCCTCAGCATTGTGCAGATCATGGCCCCCACGTCACTTCCCCTGAGAAGCCTTCCCCAGAGAGCCGTCCACTCCCAGCCAGGCTCCCCTGGCCCACGCCCCTGTGCATCCACACTGTCTTTCTTCAGAACACCCGTTCCAGTTTGAAATTACACAATGCACTGTACTGTAATCACGCGACAAGAACCTTTTTTCAGTTTCCGTTTCCTCCCTGAAAACAAGCACTCCCTCTGTTGTGGACACCATTCAGAGCCCGGCAACTGAATAAATGAAAGGGTTTGAAATGAGTGAATGACATCTAGGTTGACCGAGAGACTGGGAGACTACAAAGGGTCAAGTGTTCGAGAAGGTGGGGAGCAGGTGCAGCAGAATGAGTAAGATGGCACTGGGCGGGGAGGAGGTGTGGTCCCAGTGGGGAAGTCCACTGGGTCTCTCCAAGGGGACTAGAAGATACGAGGCCGGGTTTGGGGGCTGGCTGTTCACGTGATCAGTGAGGTCACCTACAATTACCCTGGAAGGGTGCTCAATTAATATGTGACTGACTGTATACATTCATTAATTAATAATTCCACTTGAGCTTGGTCTTTTGGGAAAGCTCCACCAATGGCAAAACCCCATATAAGTGCGTAATTAAAATGCCAGACTGATCTTTATTATTGATGTATGTCTTCTGATTGATCTAATTATAATTATGATAAATATGAATATGAATTAGACATGAACCCCAGAAAGGATAAAATAATTGCAGAAGGTGGAATGTGTCTGATGTTTAGCCTACTTCAGATGAATTTCCTGTACCAGTTTCCTTGAAGCAGAGATAAAAATCCTTCATAAAGGCTGTGGGTGCCCATAAGGTGATACGGCCCCTTGGCCATGACCTGGTCTGGACTCTACAGTCCAACTTGCATGAGGAGTAAGAAGAAAGTTACTAGAACGAACCTAGGTCCCCCTTTGGTGGGTGAGCTAAGAGTTGTCCATTCCTTCCTCTATGAGCATCCTGGAACTGACCGCTGAATGCCTTCCATCCATCACAGGAGGTTACCTGGAGTGCACTGCTCAACACACAATGTCTTCAGCTGACATCTACGCTTTGGGACTGCCCCCTTGGTATGTCTGGAATGACTCAAACTGCTTAGGTCTGAATTCGTGGAAAATTGAAAACGTACAGTTGCTCTGGGTTTTACATAATTTCCTCCCCCGTGTATTTTCGTACAGAGGAAACCCTCCATGAAAATTAAGCCTTTGGGTACTCACCACCCTTTCACTCACTGTTACTCAGGGTGGGGGAGTAGCATGGCCAACTGATGACTGTGGCCTTGCCCAGGCAGTCCTTTCCTGCTTCTCTACTGAGACATGCTCCTTGCAGGGCACTCGGGCTCTGGTAACTGCTGTCAACCACACACCTGGGGAAGGGGAGGGGGAACAGAGTGGGCAAGACTTGCTCCTCCCTACTGCTGAGACACGCAAAACAGAGACGCTCCATGCTTGTTGACACAGAGTAAGGACTTTCAGCTTTGTAAACAGACTAGACTTTTAGTCCTGTGTGCCTCCCTTTATGAGGTACGGAGAGTAGGCAAGTCAAATTATGTGAACTTCATCAAACAGGGGTAATGTGTTCATAATACCAAATACTGATGCTCAGCTTGGGACTTAAGAATTCTTTGAAAGTCTGACTTTCTCTCCCTCATCTTGAAAAACAGACTTACACCTCACTCCGCAGGAAGTAGCCAGAGTGACTGTCACCCCGTTCCAATCAGGACTGAGGAGTACCAAAGAAAAAGGGAGAATTGTAACTGAGCGGGACCCTCTGGGGCCTTCCCAGGACAGGACCGCAGCCCCCGCCTCCAGGTCCCCTGCCTGCCTCTTGTTTGCAGAAAAAGCCGTGGTCTCCCAGGCCCCCCTGAACCATAAACAGCCTGGATCAAGAGCAAATGATCGATGATGGGGACATTGTGCTGTGCACCAGAAACGGACACACTGTAACTGACTATACTTCAATTTAAAAAAATATATAGATGTATCTAGAAATATCAAATCACTATGTTGTGCACCAGGAACTAACATAGTGTTGTAGGTCGACTGAACTTCAAAAACAAACAAACAATATATAGAAAAAGAGATCAGCTTTGTGGTTACCAGAGATGGGGGATGGGAGCAGGGTGTTGGGTGAGGGTAACCCTTTTGACTATAAGGTCCATACTTCCAGGTATAAGGTAAGTAAGTAGCAGGGATGTAATGTACATGATAATATGATTAACACTGCTGTACATTATACATAAAAGGTGTTATGGGAGTAAATCCGAAGCATTCTCATTACACAAGGAAAACTCTTTTTCTTTCTCTTCAATTTTGTGTCTATATGAGATGATGGATCTTCACTGAACTTACTGTGGTCATCATTTCATGATGTACATAAGTCAAATCATTATGCTGCACACCTTAAACTTATACAGAGCTGCCTGCCAATTACAGCTCAATAAAACTGGAAGGAAAAAAAAAAGAGTAAATGACTGAAAGGATGTGAACATGTGGTGACAAAAATAACAACCGAGCCAGGAGAACTGGTAACAATTTAAACAGTAAATCGGCCAGATGGCAGTCCCAGAACCTAGCTCTCCCCTGAAGGACATAGATAACAGTGTCCGACGCACATTCCTGAGTGCTTCACAGATGCTAAAACCCCGAGCAAGTGGAAGACGTAACTACTACGTGATGACCATGAGCGTAGCCTCCAGACCAGCTGGAGCCTAAGGACTGACGGTGTTAACCCCTGCGACACCGCCCTGTGACCTCACCATCAACCAAACAGAGAACTGTGCACGGGCTGATCCTGCAGCCTGCAACCCCCCTCCTTCATCCCACTGGGGAGTTGGGTCTTTTGAACAATAGGTGCCTGGACTTCTTGCTTGGTGCCTACAATAAACACTGTATTTTCTTTCACCAAAAAAAAAAAAAAAAATTATGGGAGTTTCAATTCCAGCAAAATACCTGGTTCAGGCCAGGATGCAGATTCAAAGTCACTGAGAAAGTATAAAGCACCCGCAGCCACTAGCGGGGCCGGGCACTGAAGACGTCTCCCTTCCCGGGAGCCTGCTCCCCTACCACTCACCCATCTGATCCAGCTCTCAGTCTCCTCCTCCGGCAGCCGGGACACTGTGCGGGGTAAGAAGCGCACCAGCTTCTCCTTGATGATGGACGACGTCAGGGCGTCCTCCATCTCCACCAGGCTCGCGATCACATCGGCGATCTGCCCTGAGCCTTCCACCACCACGCAGGGAATTTTACTTTTGATGGAGGTATTGATGGCCTGGGGGAGAGGAGACAGAGTTGGCCGGATGGAAAAGACATGGAGGGTGAATAGAACCCAGCTCGGGACCCAGGTTCTAATCAAGCTGGTTAACAAATCACAATGACACATCTCTGCACTTTTTTCCTTTAGGGGGTTTAATTTCAATCAGAAGCAAAGCAAATATCTGCAGTTGCTTTAAGAATGAGAAATGCAAGCCAGATGTACGACACCCTGCGCTGATGCCAAATCCCCTAATAAAGACACGTGTGGCTCGCAAGGTTTCCATAAGTAAGTGCTGTAAAATACCCCCATATACAACATCGCTCATCCCAAATATTGACGTTGTAGATTTGATGACGGCTCTTAAGACGGTACCCAACGTTGGCACTGATCACTTATCTGATGGAGGTTAATAATATTCATACTTTAAGGTATAAAAAAATCTCTGCAGTGGCAG